ACGTGGATGTGCAGTGGAGGGGCTTCACTGCAGAACTGGTCTTAAAAAAATAAAAAAAAAGAAGAAGAGGTAGCAGGAAAAATCCCTAAGGGCAGTGGCAAAAGCTTTCTTACTTACTAATTATTAACTTCTTAATTATTTCTATTTTTCTTCTGCACAGGCAGATCTCCTACCACGGTAACTCCAGCGAACATCCAGCAACTCACCTTGGCCTCAGCCTTTGGGAAAACTCTTCCCCGTCTCAGCAGGGTGGACCAGGGGCTGTTTGGTAAGGAAGAGGAGGGACACTCCTATCTGAGCTGCTGTTGCGCTTTTCCAGGGGCCACTGCCACCCCACCCCACCCCACCCCATCCCATCCCACCCCACCCCACCCCATCCCCTCCCCATCTCCATCCCGTCCCACCCCACCCCATCCGCAGGCAACTGTCAGCGCGAGCCGGGTGCTGCAGAGGGCTGGCAGGGCTCTGCCCTGCGATCAGCGCAGCCAGGGAAATTCAGGCACTTCCCAGGTTTCTGCGACGCAGGGAGCAGTGCCTCAGCACCCGGGGATGTTAGGGGCACTGGGTGGGTGCTGCTGGGTCCCCTCTCCGTGCCTCTGCACCCCGGGGCTCGGAGAGGATTGAACTTGCAGAAAAAAACGAGCATCTCCTGGCTCCCCATCACCCAGTGCAGCTCTACGGTGTCAGCTGGTGCTGGCAACAGAAAACCCTGGGTTTGGCAGCTTACGACGACCGTACGGCTCCCAGCATCACGACCGTACAGCTCCCAGCAACGGCAGATGTGGGGCTCCGCTGCTGCGACGCCACCAGCAGCACCAGCAAACACTCCGCGGGCAGGATGCGACCCCCCGAGGCTGGCCAGCTCAGCAAACCCACCCGAAAGGGGTATTTCAGCCAGTCCCCCGGGTTCACGTGTTTCAGCCAGTCCCCCGGGTTCATGTGGTGGTGCTGGAAGGAGCGAGCTGGTGAGGGGTAGCTATAGAGACCTAAATTACCAGGGCTGCTGTAGCCCCCCAGCTGCCCCAACGCTGACATAGCAGAGCAAGTCACTTCTCTCCCCTCTGACGCCCAGGCTGACCATCGCTCCCTCGCTGCTGAAGAGCCTACGAGGATTAAAAATGCAGATTTTTTTTTTTTTTTTTTAAAAATCAATAATTATAACAAAGCAGCCAGCACAGCAGCATGATAGGTAATTTATTTTATTGCATTTTATAATGCCATTGTCCATACAGATTACATGCAGCTAGATCTACTGTACAAGGGTTTACCGTCTGCCAAAGCAGACACACGGAAGTTCAGAGTACAAATACACAGCAATGCTATTTCCTTTATACAGCACGAGGAATGCGGCAGCGAAGGCGGCGGCGGGAGAGAAAGGGTCACTTTATACACATCCTCCCTCCCCTCCACCCTCTGGCCCCCTCGGACCTCGTCCCACCTCCCCGGCATCACCTTCCCACCCAGCGCCAAAGAGGATGGAAAAAAAAAAATTAAAAAAATACACAGCAATGCTATTTCCTTTATACAGCACGAGGAATGCGGCAGCGAAGGCGGCGGCGGGAGAGAAAGGGTCACTTTATACACATCCTCCCTCCCCTCCACACCCTCTGGCCCTCGGACCTCGTCCCACCTCCCCGGCATCACCTTCCCACCCAGCGCCAAAGAGGATGGAAAAAAAAAAAAAAAAAGGGGAGGGGGGGGGGGGGTTCTCTGTGCCCAGGAAAAGGCAGCGCAGACCCCCAGTCAGGGGTCCCGTCAGCAAATACTGAGCATGCCTAGGGATTAATTAATAAGAGCCCCTGGGTAGAAAAAAAACCATGGAAAACCGAGTAATTCCTTCAGTGGGAGATACCAGAAAAATGCTATTACTTACAGTGGGGTGCCCACACCTCCCCCTCACAGAACTGCCCCAGGAGGCAAAGAAACATGAAATAAAACAAACAAACAAAAAAAATCCAGAAAAAAACCCAAAAGAACAATTCAGGTTGGTAGGTTTAAACCCAGTATATATATATCTCAATATATACAGACATACAATTCTGCCACACATTGCGTTTGGTCCTTGATCCTTCCTTCTCTCCCCTCCCTGCCTCCGGCGTGTGTTTGAGGTAAGACACGCAGAATTTTGTAAAATTCAAACTAGCAAAAAATAAACCAGAGGGGTGGGGGGGGTGGGTGCGGGCAAGGCTGGGAGGGGACACGGTACCTGGGTTCGGAT